TCCACTATGCCGATCTGCAAAGAATTTGATGTGTGGGATTGGCAGGTGAGAGAGAGAAAGAGAGAGAGAGAGAGAGAGAGAGAAAGAAAGAAAGAAAGAAAGAAAGAAAGAAAAACCTAATTGCAATGAGAAAGAATAATTTGCTCTAATAACTAGGTGAAAAAAAAGCCATTTATCAAAGTGATCCAAACGTATGAAGAGAAGCTCAATGTACTGAGTTTTTCCTTATTTAAGTACTGAAATAGATTTGTGTAACTTACTAGATTTTTCTCCTGCCTTTCTATTCAACTGATCACTCAGGGCAAATACTTGAAAAGCAGGGTCTTTTCTGAGCCACCTTTCATACAGATCCCAATATCCAAACAGGTTTGCAACGGGAATCGTGGTTCCTCAAATAGCCAGACTTTAAGCTATTTAGGGCTTTAAAGATTAATACCAACAACTTGATTTTACATTTGAGTTTTTTAAATGTGCTTGGATAAATGCCATGTAATACTGAGGAGGCGGTGTGAAATCATCCATTTTACAGTGTATTGTATATAACAGTGTTAAGAGAATTGTATAGGATGACAATGGAGCAATTATTCCATTTTAAATAGAGCTGTAAAAACTGAAGTTGCATCATGCCACTTTCTAAACAAGGGAAAAAAAACAATATTTTTCAATACATTTGAATATTCTCCTCTTGCTCCTATTGAAGGGACTTGCAGCTGAGCATCTTCAGCTCCAGAGAAGCTGGAACTCAGCAGTGTAGTAAAAGGGAGAGAGAGAAAGAGAGAGAGAGAGACAGACAGACAGACAGACAAAGCGCTTGACGAGTCCTCACGTCATTTATTCTATCTTCCTGGCCTTTAATGAAAATGAAGCAGTAACTAGCTGGCTGGGGAAATAAAAGAACTCATAGCAAAGCATCTTTTTGAATATGGGGTTATTACCACTTACCTTTAAGCTCCTAGCACAATGGATAATCACAATTCCTGTAATGGCCCAAAAGTCCAGCCAATGTTGCCTTTTGAGACACCTACACCCTCACTCAACCTTTGTTCACCCAATCACAGCCTGGGCAATGCTAACAAAGGGGAGAAGGCCTTGCACTAAACGAACAGAAAACAGAGGAATCCCCAGTAAAGAAGCTTATGTTGTCAAGTATGTTCCTTTTATGACATTCTACTTCTGACAGTTTTAGAACCTTTGAAGAGTAATAGTGGAACGGAGGGAACTTTTCTGTACCTGGGTGATGCATCAGGGCCCGTTTCCGGTATGCTTTTTTGATTTCATCTTCAGAGGCATTCTTGTCTACACCCAGGATCTTGTAGTAGTCTTTCCTCTTGCTCTTCTTCAGTTCCATCTGTGCATTCTTGAGCAGCTGCTTGTGTTCTACAATATATCAGAAAAGAAAATTTTTAGCTGCAACAAAGGATTACACAATGAATGCAATTCTCCTCCAGGCAGACTAAGTGAGGGGTGATTTAGGACTGATAAAGTACCTCTTGATGCAATAAACAGTAGATAAAATTTGCTGTCATTAGATAGGATGATGGCTGCCAATTTAGTTAATTTTTAAAAGGGGATAAATTAATTGGAGATACAGCTACCAACAGCCCCCTGTCTGGAATCTAAGGCACCGTATGTCTTAAATATTATGAAAAGTCAGATTGAAGAAGCCAGTGAGGTGTAATTCTTATGATCCAGATTCTAGGGTGGCCTTAGCCATGGAAGCTCTGACTTCGTCAGTTGCTCTCTCTCAGACCAATTTATCTCACAGGGTTGTTGCTGTGGGGAAAAACAGGAGGAGTGAACACTATGCATGCTGCCATGGGCTCCTGAGTGAAAGAGTGGGATATAAGTCTAATAAATAAGACTGTCTGAAAACAACAGTTAAGACTGGCTTTCAGAAATACTGGGCTAGTGTTCCCATCATCCCCAGCCAATATAAAAGGAGTTGTAGCCTGGATTATCTAATAAATATCAGAAAAGGCCAATCAAGCCCACAAGCAAATGCTCTATGGTTACCTTTTGTTTTCTCTGTCTGGTAAACCTTTTCATAATCCCTTACAGCATCTTCATACTGCTCTGTGTCCATGTAACTAGGCAGAGGCACAATTAACACCGTATAAATTTCAGAACAAGCTCCAAATTACATCAGATTAAGTGAGAAAAAAGTCAGAAAATAATCTGAGCTAAAGGGAAGGAGAAGCCATTCCTAACCTGCTATTCAGCCATGAGCATGAGCAACATCTACATATCTACCAAGTCAGGAAATACAGAAAAGTGATTTATAGGAAATCAAACTTGATATGATAAGCAACATGACCTAATTTCTAAACCACCTGAGTCAATAGAGGAAAGAGGCTGAATCTAGCAGAAGCTCATGGAATAGTTTTTGATCTGGTGTTATTTTAACCTCAACTACCTCAAAGGCTTGGGATAAAATCTGGAGCAAGTAGAAACAAGCATGTAGTCCTAAACATCTCAAATGTAGAAGTGAGAGAAAAAAAATACAGGGAGAACTTTTAAAAAATGGAAAATAGCTGGTTTTTATATACAGTTAGTCCTCGTTTAGCAACTGCCTCATTTAGCAACTGTTCACAGTTATGATGGTGATGAAAAAGTAACTTTATGACTAATCCTCACATTTACAACCTTCACAGGTCTGTACAGCAAAGGAAAGATGAAGTAAGATGATAAGCAGTCACAGTTTCACTTAGTGGCCGCTTCACTTAACAACCAAGTTGCCGGTCCCAATTGTGGTCACTAAACAAGGACTACCTGTATATTCTTCCCAATTCAATCAATTAGCTTAGCTAATATTAGATATCAGGACACTCTAAACCAAAAGATGTGCTATATCTTGACCATATCAACCATCTTAGATACTAGATACTACTTAGATTACTAGATCAGTCTTTCCTAGCATTATCTGAAAAGTGATTCACCTGGTCCTTTCTAATGATCTGAATATTTAATGTCCCAGGAATGAAAACTGTCTCCCCTCCTTTTGTTTGCTCAGTCTAAGAGGATATTCTTTCATTATTAAGTTAGGTATCTCCCCCCCATTTTAGATACCAATTCTTACCACTGCGCTCTTCTCAGATAGGCCTTAATGTATGTGTCGTCCAGTTTGATGGCACTTGTGCAGTCTTCTATTGCTTCATCTAGCTTTCTAAGCTGGAAGGCAAACACCAAGCTTAGAAACTAAACTCTCTGGCATTATCGTTAGTTTCTGTCTCAAAGAATAGAAAGAAATACATCTCAACTTCAATCTGTTATTTGCTTTGTTCAGGCCTCTAGGTAAGACAGTTTAGTTCATGGCTTTTAGATCCTTTATTGTAGGCCTTCTCCAACTCTAGATGTATTAGGATAAAATTCATATAATTCACAGAATTCTCCACAGTCCCAACACAATTAGCAGCACAAAGTTGGTGTTGGCTGCCCTAAAATCTGCTTTCCTTCAAATTCTTGCTGTGCAGTATTATTCTCAGTCATCAGAAAGAAAAACTGAACAATTAGGAGTAACAAAATCATAATAAGGTTACAGCAGAAAGCCCAAAAAAGTATTAGTTGCCTTCCTAAAAGAGGAGTCAAATATTGAAGAGGTCAACCAACTGTACCACAAGAGTAGAAAAAAATATATGGTGGATGGTTGACAGGTATTTAAGCCAATTCAAGGAAATATTCACCTTGAGCTCATTTCCAAAATTATCAGCATTTGTTCTTATCAGAGATTTTATTGGCTAGAACATATTTTAACAACTATATTTTTCCTGCTGTTCCCAGTACTGGAGAAATGAACAACCAAATGCATTTAAGTTCACAAAAAGTACACTAAATGGTTTTTGGAAGCAAGATAACTTTTGGAAGGCAAGAGGCAAAGAACCTTCAAAGCACAAAGATAGAGGGCCTCTGATGATGCTGAGTGGTTTTCTTTCCATCCTTGAGCTTTTGCAGAATGACTCTTTCTGATTTTACTGATTCTTATTTCCTCAATTCTGTTAATCTCCACATTTTTTTTCAGATTTTTAAAAATATTGCTTACCTAATTCAAAAAGATCACATTGTGCTACTCAGTTACAGCATCAAATATAGTACAACAGCAGCAGAGTTAAAAATTAAAGAGGCCATATCCCCATCCTCTGCATTTATTAATAATCAAATTAATTGCTTTTGAGCTAAACTCAAATGACTCAGGTAGTGTTATTGGCACTGCCATGGTTCAGCTCCTTGACATACGATTTTTGTATTTTTTATACTTTTCAATGTATTTATGGACTGTTTTTTAACCCTGTTGTATGCCGCCCAGTCGCTTGAAAAAGTGAGGTGGCTCTTTAATAAATTGTGTAAATAAATAAATACATATTGTACAGATTTAAATAAACAAGCAAACTTAGAGGCAACAAAAGATTGTGAGTGACATAATAGAATTTGATAGCAAACTTTCCATATTTTCTCCGATCCCAAGTTGGTTTCCAACAAAATGTATTGGCCAGGTTATTCCTGCTATTCACAACCTCTGTTCTCCATTAGCAGAATGGAATAAGGACATTACTGCTACTGACTTACCTTACAAACATGTTACAAAAATTGCTCAGTTTTGCAATCAAAGCACTAGGAAGTCTCAGAAACACACAGGTATATGAACTACTCATAGTTATTATTCCTACAGAGATATCCAAAAGGTAAACTTTATTTGAACCTCCCTACTTTATAGTCATACTGTCTGATCTTGAGGTTTGCTGGCTTTGCCATCCTAACAATTTATCATCCTTGCATTGACAAAGCCTTTATTTTAGGTTTCCAATGGTGAAAAGACTGCTTCCAATGTGGTCTTCATAATCTTTTACCACTGAAGGTTGATAGATTCTTCAAGCCCTTCTCTATTACACATTGCAATAAGGAGAGACAGATTTGAGGAAACTTCTCCCATATCTAAATTGTTTGTGGCAGAAGACTTCAGAAAGGTCCCCGATCTAAAGAAAAAGGCGAGGCCCTACTTGGGCACTTACCTTGGAATTAACAGTTCCACGATTGCAGTACAGTTTGGCATTGGTTTTCCTGTTATTTGGATCTATTGCTAGGGCCTCTGTATAAAGTGTGAAGGCCAGCTTATAATTCCCTTCCTTGAAAGCCTTGTTACCATCGTCTTTCTTTGCTTTCAGTGCTTTGGCGTTCTAAAGGAAGAAGTGGGCAGAAAAATAATGTGGAGTAATTAAAAAAACTTGGGCTGTCACCTACTTCAGCAAATATTAGTTGGCTCGCCTGCATAAAGATACATATTAAAAAACTACCCAGTTCTCAATTTCAAGATCTGTCTAATGGAGAGAAGTGCTTTAAGCACATCTCAATACATTGCCAAAGTTGCACAGTATGAAACAATTAATAGTGTTTAGAAGGAAAGGTAGGAGAGTGCAGATGATAGGATTTCTTCTCCTTCTCCACTCAGTTTGAAAGTGCTTGATTTAGCACCTGCTTTAGTAATATAGTAGTAAAAGCAGATTTCTAGCTGCTACCACCATCTGTCTTCCTCTGAATATTGCATGATATCTTAGCATTTCCACAGTAATTCCTAGGAGCACTCTAGAAAAGTTCTGGTAGGCCACAGTTGAACTTCTGCATCTTTGAAGCCACCAGTTCTTTAAAACACTTTAGCAACCCCACTATAAGCCTTTGCCAAAGGCTTACTTTTGAGATTGAATCACAGTCCTGAGAATGATCAAACTTACCTGCCACCTGTAAACAGGGACTGTAATTTGGGGATTAGAGGAAAAACTTGCACACATTTCAGATGATGCACAAGGGATACAATCTTAGAACAGCTTTCCCCAACTTTGTGCTCTGCAGGCATGGATGTCCAGGGGCGGGTGTGACACCATAACATACACAGTGTTGTCATGGTTGGTCTTGAACACCTATGCCTGCAGGTATTTTGCAGTTCAAGATCCACAATCTGCAGTCACTGTGCCTAATGTATCTGGATGGCACCAGATTGGACAAGAATCTTTTAGAAAATATATGCTATCACAGGATTTTTAAAACCCATTTCTTACATATGGGAAAGAACATTTCCTTATGATGGTATTTACAATCTGTACTTTTTATAACAACTTTAATTATTTTTTTTTAAAACAGTTCCAACAGAATGAAGTAGTAAATAATATAATTTTCCTCTTACTTTAGAAGTCAGTCGTCATGTGGCACACATGGAGGCACCAACCTGATAGTTTATAGTACAGTTAGTCCTTGCTTAACGACTGTTCATTTAACAACAGTTCGAAATTATGATGGCCTCGGAAAGGGTGTTTTTCAGTCTGTAAAGCACTTCTGGCCGTCGTAAAACGTTGCGCCGCCTCCCTGCGGTCATGTGGCCACATTTCAGGTGCTTGGCAACCAGCTCGTATTTACAACCAGTTGCCAAGTGCCCCATGATCATATGATCGCTATTTGCAATCTTCTCTGCTGGCTTCCCCATTGGAAGCTAGTAGGGAAGGTTGCAAGTGGAGGGGATGCGGTGGTGTGAAGGAACGGACCTCAAATCTTCAGGATTTGAGCTCCATGACTGCCCAGCACTGTGAGGTTTCCCCTCCCCCTTCAGCACTGGGCAGTCATGGACCTCAAATCTTCAGGTCCTCTATTCACTGCTGAGAGAGGGGAGGGGAAAGAGGACAAAGCGAAAGAACTTATCTGCTGAAGGATTTCAACTCCACGTGGAGCTGAAATCCTTCAGCAGACAGCTCTTTCACTTAGTCTGCTTAATGACCTGGGAGATAGCTTAACACTCCCTCAACTTGGAGTGCCCGGATTGCAATGTCATTGAGCGAAACAGTCACGTGGGCATTTCACTTAACGACTGCTTCGTTCTGGTCCCAACTGTGGTTGTTAGGCAAAGACTACTTGTATAGAAATATCAATTGTTTAAGTTCTACTATAAACTGTTTTTTTAATCTGAAACCATGTAATAACAATTTCATGAAAACCCTGTAAACACACCTGGGACTTAAACAGTCCTTAATTTCTGTTTAGAGTTTATCCAGCATTAGGACATGTCAAATTTCATTGAAAAACTCCAGAATGGACTGTGTTCCAGGGTGTGCTTTGCTGAAATTAACTGATATAATTCTTTTTGGATTTAGGTTAAATATCTCATCACTCAACTTAGTGGCATGTTAGAAGCTTTTAAAACTGATGACTACTGGGACTATTTTAATCAATCCAGTAATTTTTAAATAGTTTAGACTAATCAATTAATTAGGCGAACTTTCCACTCCTTAAAAAAATCTAAGTACAGAAAAGATGGTTCCATGTCAATAGCAGATAAAGCAATATATATTGAGTACACTCACTCTATCTTGTTCTGTACAGTGGATCTATCTGCAAACATGAATGCAATTATTCACTGTGGGAGAGGACACCTGCTGCTATTATGTTAGCACAGAATCTGAATTCTTACAGCCAGTTAAATATCCAAATCCTTCAGCTGCATTTCAACATCCAAGATGTTTGGTCAGTAGAATGTTACCAGTTTAGGGCTGGGACTGAATACGTGTTGTGATTCTCTAGGAGAACAGCAAAAAGCACAGAACACACTAGTAGGTGCAGAGAACCTCCACTTTATTTTTATGTAAACTTCTAATCTACAATCATAAAAGTATGGTTTTAATTACGGGGGAAATGCCTGATAGAATCTAATTCAACCACCTCTCTGACTTCTAAGATTTTCATTGTTTGCAGGTCTGACTTTAGTGTCCTTGCTTACTGACAGTTACTTGTAGACACAGAATAGCAACAATGCATAATCTTATAAAAGAAACAAAACTGTACAAACCTATAGCTTATTTAAGCTATACAATTCATTTTTTCATTGTTCAGAATTGAAATAGTCTAGTTAAAGAAGTTTAATTTCTGACATGAAACAAACACAACCTCAATCAGAGCTATCTTAAGCCTCTCCCTTGTACCTCAGAAAGGGACTCCTTCCTCTCCTATAGGCAGGAGAAAAATAACATTTAGCTTTCCTCTTACATATGATACTTGCTCTTAAATATCTCCTATTTAATGGCATTTGTACTATTTACGTAAGTGTAGTCAAAAGTTATCCCAACTTGCAGATATGATGAATCTATGTTGCTGAACTGTACCTGGCAGCATTCCTCCCCACTGGACATGCTGCCTGGAGCTCCTAGGAGCTATAGATCAACACGATTTGGAAGGCCACAGGCACCCCACCCTGGCCTGTCAGAAAGCACACACATCTCCCCAGCATTTCTTTTTATGCTTACACGGCAAGCAAGGCAGGCTTTATCGTGGTCAGGAGCCATTTTTAGTGCCTGGATGAAGAATTGCACAGCCTTCTCGATGCAGTCCTCATAGTAAAGGCAAAGGCCTCGGACGTAGAGAGCATCAGCATTTGTTGCATCTATTCGCAAGATGTCACTAAATACGGAGTGCAGGAATAGGAAAAAAAAATCACAGGACAAAACAGAGCTGGGTACGTTCTTACCCTCAAACCAAGACACCGATAAAAAACTTGTAGCATAACAATATGTGAATATTTCAAATCAACATATGATGCCTGAGTCCTGTAGCTTCCAGGCAAGAACAGCATCCTTTCTAGTTGTCCATTGTCTTTCCTTTTCTCTAATTCCTGACACTGGCCTTTTTTTCCTATTATTCCAGTGGACCATTTCTTTTCCCAACTCCCCTCTGTCAATTTCAAAGCAAGTACACATATATTTATCAATCAATCAATCAAATTTGTATAGTCACCCATCTCACATAGTGACTCTGGGTGCTGTACATAATAGCCTTTTGAAGGCTCCCATTACATTTTGTTTTGCTTTCTGCCTGGACCCTTGTGGACACAGACACCTCTTTAGAACTGAAAAATGTTTTACTAAATTATACACACTGGTGGGGGAACTTTAACTTTCCAGGTTTTTCATTTTTTCACTAAACACTAAAAATAGGGCTTGCTCCAATTTGATGTAAATTCTGAACCTGATGCAGAATGGAATCTTTCAGAAGGGTTAACTTGTTTGATCAGGGACGAAGGTGTTCTCATCCTGTCTCTGTGGATCTCAATCTCATAGTTGAGGAGTTCAGCTTGCTAGAAAGGGCAGGGTGTCATGCCAAAGTTAGTTGTCACCCACAATTTCTTTTTCTGTGGCTGTGCACTTCTGAACAACAAACTGAATTTACTTTCTCAGCATCTTTATTGCCATTCTTGGTTGATTCTTCTCAAATTACTCGATCCAGCTTTCCATTCTTCTCCTCTCCCATCCCTTCCTTTTCACAATATATTCTAGTTTTTAAATATTTTTTAAAACTGTGGCCTTTCTTACTTTGCAAAAATGAAAAAAACAAAAAACAAAACAGTTATTGGCATCTTAATAGCATAAATCCCTGCACTGATGTATATGAAACTGGCACATTTCTTCCTCTGTAATACTGTATATATGCCATTCTAATTTAGAAAAATAAAAATTGTTTTGGGTACCATTGTGGCTTCTCAGTACTAGATAATGGGGAGGCACAGCTCCAATCTTCTTGTTAGAATCAGGAACAAATCATGATGAGCTATTCCCCTCAGGGTTAACTACATTATTCTTTACACCATATAGGTTTTCCCCATCAAATCTGTTACAGTTCTTACCTTGCAACAGACTGGGCTTCAGAATAGCGACCTAGCAAAGCTAAGCATTCTGCTTTCAGGATTTTGAAGCGATGGCAGGCAGGGGCAAATTCTAGAGCACGATCCATACAAAATACAACCTGGGGAACAGACGCAAAAGAGAAAAGAAAAAAAAATCAGAACACAAAAACTCAGATATTGGTTTGGAGGCAGCCTCTTGCCTGCTGAAGACATGAAGCTTGAATAACCTATAATAGTTGGAGTTCTGCTCTGAAACAGAATTTAGGATAGGCAAAATTAGTATTTTTTCCCATATAACTCATAGTTCATAGAACATATGGCTAATACAACTCTCAATAGCTAATGGTCTTGATAGCTAAATAAGTGTCTGTGTGTTCAGAGGCAGCATGCCACAATACTGGCTGCTATGGACAATGTGGACAGGGGAAGAACCTACCACCATAAGCCTGAAATTTGAATTGTTTCATACATTGTAAAATAAGTATATGTATAGACCTGTATAAGTTAAAGGATCTGGACAGGATTTTGGACAAGATCTATATCTTTGGCAAATTAGCATAAGGCTTTGAAATGGCACTAATTTTCAAGCCCCAAAGCTCAGCCCCCTAAAGCCTTATGAACCTTTTTATCAGGGCATATGGACAAGTTCAAGAAGCACAACACCCCCCCCCCCCAATAGCCTATACAGCCCAACTAAGTTGCTACGAGTCACTGATTTAGGTCCATTCACAGATAATATCTGATGTCAAACTTTTCTACCTGGGTAGGAGTGGGAAACCCACCCCCCAAAAACAGGTAAGGTGAGGCCTTTCTGCAGGTCTGATCTCCAGAAATTTTCTGTGGAAAATTATATGAATCAAGCCTTTCCAATATGTAGCAATAACCTCCCATCTGTAAAGCATTCTTGGAAGAATGTAAGAATAGCAATTTCTTCCTCTTGTAAAAAGATGCTTGGCTGAAAATATGTATGGGAGTTAGTACTCCCAGAAGTACTGACAGGTGAAACACTCCGTCCTTATTTATATAAATTCTTGGGTGAAACTTGTTCTTATGACACTGGGGGCAAAACAAACATAAACTCAAACCTGCCACAATCACAAAACAAGAAGGGGTTGTAGGTACTACTTATAGGTGCAAAACAGGAGCGTGGGCAGTAGACGCTAAACCATCCTTGCTATTTACAACTTCCTCCTTGGGAATGGCATTTTGGGGATGCAAGAAATAAGGAAAAATAGGATGCTAAGCTATACATTAATGTCCACATTCCACACTCCTCACCTGAATCACTTTCAGCCTTTAAACTGGATGCCCTTGCCCCAACTTCTATGTGACTGGGGCAGATATGGCTTAAGAATACACCAGTATCTGCTCTGCATACTTCTGTGTTCTGGGGTAAAAAAAGAAGCTTTTCTGAATAATAGGGGACTATACTTTCTCCACTATTTCTAAGGAAGTACGGAGCGCTACCACAATGATTCTTTAAAGTATAGTCTGGGTCTGCATAAGTCCACTAGTTTATCTGTCACAGCTTCCCTGTGTTCATGGGGCAAAGCTTGCTCACTGCCTTGGCCCTGCCTCCCTCCACAGAGACAGCTTGTTCACCATATTAGCTCACACTTCCCCCACCAGTAAGATGGTTCTTAAACATGGATCACTGGATAAAAATTGGTTCACTGAAATGTAAACATGATAATTTAAGTGACAATGTAAACATCAACATTCAGAAAATGAATTGATCTTAAGTGTAGTTACCAACAGTGAACTGGCATGTGCTCTGCTAAATGGAACTGTGGCTCCACACAAGCAACCCAAAAGAAATGTGTGAATAAGATATAGAATAATGAGAAAAATGGGATTTCATTGAACTGGAGATCCACTTGCCCCTACACTCTCAGAATTGAGATTTCTACTGAAGAACATTTTTGACCAGCAAATTTGTGCTAAGAATTGTTATTATTGCATGGGGCACATAAAACAATTCAAATGGTAATTAAAGACTTTATTTTTTGCTACAAATTTCAGTTTAAAAAACACTTAACAATGGAGGAGACAGGAAGGCATATACAAAGGCAGACACCATCTTTACCTTATTCACCTGGAAATGTTAACTCCTATGCTCTTAGAAATGAAAAGGCAGAGAGAGTGTGTTGTTTAACTAAGTGGTTCCCTCATTTTCTGAATGTTTATTTAGTGGCCCGTGACTGCAGAAATTTTGAAAAATACTGTACTTAGAAACTCAAGTTGAGATTGTTAAAACAAGAGTGGCTGCAATGAAGCAGCGGCTACTGTGACAAATGATGAACCCAAATTTCAGGCCTCAATGAGTGTTCTCATGGCCTCTCAGTTGCATATGAAGAGGGCATTGTTGGTTTGAGGCTCAGCTGGATTCTCAAATTCCCTTCCCCCATCTCTTCCCACAGGTGACATCACCACTGGGTGCTGCGGGAAGTGCCGAGACACTCCAGATGATGGAGCCACAAGAAGGAGGAGCTTCTTCTCCAGAAACAAGGGGCACGTTTGATACTGCATAAGGGACAGAGAAGCCTGGACAGAGCTTGTTCAAATCTCAGACAAGGCAGGTTTCTTCCTTAAGACAAACTTCAGATTGTCTCAGATTACCAGCTGCTCTTGGCAATTAGAAAGCAGCGTAGTAGGAATTCATTGGATTAGACAGAGGTCTTAACATTGAGACTGTGGGGCTAAGCAGCAATACCATCTTGCTGAAGAGCAATCAAGACAAATTTGTTACTCGGGGGAGGCAAAAAGAGAGGGAGCTTTAGAGCTTTGAAACCCTTGTGGTCTGAAAACTCCAAACCTCCTGTTCTCCATTTTTGAAAAGGAAGGATGAGATTAAGTAATTGTGAGAGCAAAGAAGGAGCCTCATGGCCTCAAGAAAGCCAAAAAATAAGTTCTCTATTACACACACACACACACACCAATCAATCTTTACCTTTCGGAAGTCCCGTTTCTCAAAATCAACTTCAGCAATTTTTTCATATTCTAGAACAGTTCCGGCACTCTTCAACTGGAAGAGAAGGCATCATATCAGATTATTAAATATTAGTATTAGCTATTTGTAGGCCATCAAGCATTCTGATGCCCTCTAGATATATCAAACTACTGATTGAGTTCCCAGGATTCTCAATCAGCGATTAGCCATGTGCTGCTGGGAATTCTGAGAGTAGTAGCTCATTGTATCTGGAGGATCACAGCACTGGGGAGGCTATTCTAATGTTTTTAATGTCTTATTTATTTTAACTTCATAATGATACCTCTCTTTTGATAAACAATATTTGAAGGCTGATTTTCAACATAATCTTACCTATACATACATATACAGGATGCACAAAGTCTTATACCTACTACATCTTCAGGACATCTGTTATGATAAAGAATCAGGTTTCTAGCATATATCGCTTCCGATGTTCCTGAGGATATGTAGCAAATGTTACAGCATTTGTGGGCAGAGCTTCTGTCCTCAGTGGCATGTAAACCAACTGCTGGAGGACTGTAATTAGCATTATGCCTTCTCTATAAAGCAGCTTTGAACTGGATTATTTTCATAAGTATTGTTCCAGGAAGAACACTAGGGATTTTAAAGAGAAGCCAGAAATTCCATACATAAAGGAAAAAGGATGTTTTCTCAGCGGGCAAGACTGGAAGACATATCACTTATTCTCACAGACTTATCGCCAGGACAAGGGACGAACCTTGTTATTCACTGATGTCCTGTATGTAACTGAATGACTGAAATTTACAGCTGTATGGATTCAAAATGAAATATAAAACTGAACTTCAGTGTATTCAAAGGAACCAGTGAAGTGAAGTGTTAGCTAAATTAATATAACCAGTGCAACATACCTTGAGACTTTTATCAGTCAAACAAGAGTTGCCGAACCAGATCAATCACCCAAGCCTGGCACCCCAAATATTCAGCTCTTCAGGTAAACCTCATGTTCAATGCCTTACCTCTTGCTCAGCCTGTGTGTTTTTATGATCCAATTCTAGAACTCGTTGGAAGCAGCGGCTGGCAGCCATGGCATTCCCCAGAGATAGGTGGCACTTTCCCTCCCGCAGATGTCCCTGAGAAGATAGGAAAAGTATGAAAGCATGCAAGTGTGGTGGAGGATCAGGAGAGCTACATATGTGAGTCACATACCCTCACAAAGCTATCGTCCATCCTGACTGATTGTTGAGCATCCCCCAGTGCCTCCCGAAATTTGCCTAACATCATGAGAGTGGCAGCACGGTTTCCATAATAACTGGCATTGCTGGGACATGTATCTAGAGGACATGAAACAAGAAGATAGTAATTAATTTAGAAGCAGAAAAGAACTCACCCTGCTGTGTCCCAAGTGCCTATTTTTAAAGACATTTTAAAAAGGTAAAGAGAGAGCCATGTTCTATTCTGCAAGATTTTGAATCTAAGAAATGGTAAAATCTCAAAGGTATTTTTGTTACATCCTTTTTTGGCAAAGAACAAAGCAACATTGAATGCTATTTTTAAGTTCTCCACGTATTATGTCATCCCTCTCTCCACAAAGTAGATTTTTCTTTTTCTTTAATATTAATAAAATTAATAATAATAAAGTTTTTACTTCAGTACACAGAACAAAGTGGCCAGTTTCCACAGAGCTGCAAAGAGCATTAAACACCTGAGCGTTTGTGCCTTTGCTCCAGGAACATAAAGAATGAAAAACAAGTAATAGAGAAGTAGGGTAATGACAAAAAATTTACAGAAGAAAAATGGATATTACAGACTGACCACTACTTCTCATGAAAGATCTGCTTAGGTTTCTCAATCAAATATTGCAGAAATGTTTTTTCAAGATTTTCCATAACTGCAAAGATCAGTAATTTGATATTAAGGAAGATTTCTGTGCATATAATAGGCTGTTTATACACTGCATACTTGTTACGCTGGAACTCTAGAACAGCCCTGATTTTGAGAATATAACGCAGACTGATATACATGAGAAATTTTAACACTGTATGCATATATGGTTTTCTGCATCAAAAATGCTGGATCTGACTGTGGAAAGCTACTGCTGCGAAGTATTATCCACCTGAGCAAGTTCATACATACCAGAACAGAAAGAGGCATTTCCAATTGAGGGAAATAAAGGCCTTCATGACCAACACTTGGGTGTGCCCAAAGGTCAGTTTTCAGATTAGCAGACAAACTTCCCATCCCTTTCCTTTTCATCCTCACCTATGGCTTTTGTATAGTAGTTGTATGCTTCATTGTAGTCCTTTTTGGCATAAAATGCATTTCCCTGCTCCTTGAAGGACTCTGCTTCTCTGGAAAAAAAAAATCATAACCTAAAATGCAGCAGCATTCAGCCCAGACAAGACAAGAGCAAAGACATGATAGACCTTATCTTATCTTACCAGAAGCCTCACTACCTGAGCACTGAGCACTGCTCTGTGGTTAAGTGCTGGGAAATGGATCATGCAACTGAGTGCACCGTTCTTCCTAAAACATTTACTCCCTCAAAGATTACCACAATGAACCAATGAGTCATCCACAAACTAGTAATACACCATTTTATTACTAAATAAATAATAATTCCATTTCTATAAAGAAGTATGGTTAGCATTTCTTTGGTTATCACTGGTGCCACCTAGGTGTTTGGAACCACCACTTCCAGATTCTGTAACTAAACAATGACTTTGATCATGCAAATTCCTGGAGTTGTAGGCTCAATATATCCAGAGGCCATCAGGTTGGGTCAGGCTGTTAGAAAATACGAGCACATTTGTACATAATTGATAAGTTAGAGACATTTATATTGGCACTACTGTATGCCAGCAACTTTTGTTCACAATGACTCATCAGTGGCTATTGGGCTTGATGGTAAGAAGGAACCTAAAAGCACAGGGGAAACATGCCAGTCCATCTGCAATTCTGATAAACATTTATACTAAAAGCAACTACATTACATCAAAAATGGGTTCCAAATCAGACATGGGGCATATTTGCTTGCAGTGTGGTTCTAAATGTATTTTTAAGCAATTATACTTTAATTAGTAAATTCAGATTCAACTTTAATGCATTTTAAAAAGGATATTAAATGTAAGTGACTTTTAAAAGTAAAATGTGTAAGTAAAGGTAAATCATCCCAGAAGCAGCAGTGGCAAACCACTTCTCTTGTTGCCAAGAAAATACCTTTAATGTATCTTTTAAAATATGGTATGAGATTCTGGGAACTGCATAGAGCACTGATTCTCCCCTGTCTTAACAAGAGCCCTGAGGCTTGTCACTTGTTTATGTATGCATGATCCTAAGTGAAGTTTGCATTCTGCCGAATCATTAAAGACAACAGCTTGTTTCTACTCTAGTGGCTGGAAGGGGTAAGCCAAATTCATATAGGATCTTATCATGCTATTTCAGAATGGGAATATAGCACTTTCCCATCTTTAGGGAAAGGATCTTTATAGAATTCTGAATGTATGTTTTTGGGGGTGACAATGAATGCCTAAGACCTTTTGAGCAAGCTGGGAATCCAACTCCCAAACTAGCCATTGCAACAGCCAGCCATAAGAAAAAGAAACAAAAAGCACTCTTGAATCTAAGCTAACGGCTCTAAATTGGTTTGTTCAGTGGAGTCCCACCCCCTTATTACTCCTAGAAACAGCTAAGTAAAGGCGTGTTGGTCTGGACAATACAAGCTATGTTAGGGGGGGAAAAAACTTCAAGAGAGAAAAAGAACAATAGAGGGTTGTATTGGGATGTGTTAACATGGTTTAACCTCATTTTGACCTCAACCCACTGGCCACCCCCTCTGGACTCCTTCCCTCAGGCAGCTCCCATTAGAATGGGGCAGTTCATTAGCTTAGCTTGTAAATACAATCAAGGAATCCAAGCACATTTCATCTCAAAAACAGTTTGATGGAGGTCAAGGCCAACATACATACTGCTCACATTCAGTGTATCCAATCGAGTTTAGTTCAAGAAAGTTACAGCACCCTTGATTTGCCCTGGCTTATAAATGCTTTAAGGATTAAGAGTGGGATGGCACATGTAATCCAACAGGCACAGTAAGACCCATGATCCTATTCCTATTATTTTTAACTGTGAATATGCAATTAAAAAATCCCCACATGTGTTATACACACGCACACACTAAAACTCTTGTGTCTGTAACCTTCAACTGGACGAAACAGTGCACAATAGGGCAACAATTTTTGAACCAAGGTACCTCAAATGGGCTAACTTACAGAATGCATCCAAAATCCAGGACCCATTACTCCTGTGGGATTTAAATTTGGGAAATTTGCGGCTGCTTCAGTGCTACTGTGACATCATGGTCAACCCAAGTCATGTGATCATTATGGGCGTATCCCTGACCTCTTTCCCGCCTCCCTCCATCCCTTGCACCCAATTGGCTGGCAGCGAGGCCCAATGGCCAAGTGGCGATTGGCTGCTTTGGAACCAAGGGTGAAATCTCTTAACAATGGTAGGCGTTAAGGGAAGGATAAGGAAGCAACTCGGATGCTGCTGGCGAGGTTGGGCTGGCTGGGGGGTGCTGGTGGTCAACGAGTGAGCCCTCTTCCTCCCTTGAGGGAGTGGGCCTTTGGGGACACACCAGAATGGGAAGTGAGGGTGCAGTTTTTCTTGCGGTCCGTGGTTCTCTTTGTTCCATCTCCCCCCAGGAAAATGGCAGGCAGTTGTAATAGAATGTAATAGAGCACCAGGTTCTCAGGAAGGAGGGAGCACATTCCAGGAAGAGGGGGTGGTAAGACAAGAGACAGCACGGTCCAGAGCAGGAGTGTGGGAAGAGAAAGAGATTTAGGATAGCCACTCCCTAGAATCTCCCAGGGTATATCCACTAGGTTAGAGTAGTACAGAATTAGTCTGGCAAGATTCTGTCTATATGCTGTAAACAATAAAGAAACTGAACTCGGTTGGACTGTTTCCCTGTTGTTCTTGGGCTAGGCCTGACAGCAGTTCCGCAGGTCAATCAAGAAGTCACTGGGGCTTTCCTGAGGGTCGTGAGGGGAGGGCAAATGGTGCAAGCCTATATTATATGTGGAAAGGAAGGAGGAAGGGAGGGAGGAAAGAAGGAAGGAAAAGGGAGGAGGAAGGAAAGAAGGAAGAGGGAGGGAGGGAGGAAAATTTCTGATGCTCCCTGCCAGTTTCCCACAAGCAAAGTCAATGGGGAAGCCGGCAGCAAGTCATAAGCTGCTCACACTCCCGCTGCTTTTTTGCCCTTGGTCATTCTATTTCTCTGTTTAGGTAAGGAAATATCTCTGAAATGATGACCCAATGGGTCATGGGTTGTCTGATATTTATTTATTTATTTATTGAGAGAGAGAGAGCGCGCGTGCGCATGCGTGCACGAGCACCAAGAGGCGATTGGAGGTATCCACATTTAAGGCTCATCACAATTCTCCAACGCTCACAAGGATTTGATATTTTATTTAAGATATGTTTATGCTCCTTTTCAAGCTATAAAATAAAATGATAATACAACATACAACTAATACAATGCCATTTAACATTTCTTAAAATAGCACCAGTACATCATCATCATCATCATCATCATCATCATCATCATGCCAGTGTGCTGCAGTACTTGTGAAGACAAGAGAAACAAACAGCATCAGAAATTGGAATACACCATTTCTATTCTCCCAACTTTACATGCTTTATTAGCTACTGACCAATAAGAGACACTATATGACCAGTTATGGCCTTATTGGGGCTCTTCAGAGGTAGGTATCCTCCATATTAGATTTCTATGCTCGGCCCTTTTTGAACCCACAAGCCTTGTACTTAGCTTTAGAGCTTTCTGGGCCTGGCTATTAGTATCCTCTAGGCCAAGATAGCTCTAAAGTAGCTATGCCTACCCTTTTTCGCCATATTAGAGCGTTTTGTGATTTTTTTCTTGGTCTGAGCCTCAATGCCTCCTATTGGTCAGTAGCTAATATAATATATAGAGCTATATAAGCCCCCCAATTTTAGGGGAGGTGGTCATGAGGCCTCTAACATGAGACTCAGACCAATTTAAAAAACCACAAAATATGAGAGTATCAAGAAAAAAAAGATGTACCTGCATAACTACTTTCCCAACTCTCAGCTTCTCCCCTTTTCTAGTTTATAGCTTTTTAAAATTGATCTTGTCATCATCTTTTGATACTTCCCCCTATGTGAAGAATTACTGAGGCTGCTCTTAAAAAATAATGGACATTTTCTGTATGCAGTGATAGTACTCAATTCTGGTCATACAAACCAGATAATTGTGAAAGAACTACTACAAGGAGTAAACTCAATTGTGCGTTTTGAGGTCTCAACCCAAATACTATACCACTTTACAGTCACTGAAATTCTATCATAATAAATGTCAAGCCCATTTCAGCAGCTCACAATCAGCAAAGCAAGATTATTACACACTCAGAATAGGCAAGTTTATTGCAATAAGGGCTAGGATACAGAAACCTGGACACTAGCTATGTGTGCCTTAGCCCTCATTTATCAGTGCGTATGATAAGGTAGAGCCTCCCTACTGTCTCTGAATTGTGGTTTAATGGGGAGAATGCTAATCACCTATTTGATACAACAAAAATGTCATCTGTTCTTGTTCTGCAATATTTTGGAAATGCCCATTTTCATTCCTAGGGTCAGAGAATTCTATCACAATAAAATTTTTTATTATTTTGTGGTATCTTTCATACATCAGTGAGATTAAGGACCAGATTAAATCAAAGCGAAGAAAAGAAACATTGAGCCATTATGTAATGAGAACAGACTGATAAAATGAAACCAGGAATAGGTTTTGCTCCAACTTCTAGACTTCAAATCTGATTAAAACAAACCAGTTTACGATTATATCTGAAACAAAATATTATTGCTCAATGTCACTTTATTATGTAGGATTCTGGGCCATGCATTCTGGATGCCTACAGAGTCCATGCAGGATGTTAGCCAAGCCTATGAATGGAATACTATATTTGTCTTAGAATATTCCTCCCCACCCCCTCCGCCTCCCCCCAGATTACACAAAGGAAGATTGGTAGCAATCCTGGGCAAGCCATGTTTCAGTGAAGTTAAACTGCCCTTACTTATTAACCCATCTTAATCTCCCAGGAAACTTCTGAAAACTTGCAGAGTTTCTTTAAGTGTCAGAAAACAGAATTGGGTTTTGATGCCCCATTAAGGCTTTCTGTACCTTTTCAAGGGGGAGAAATATAGTACTGTGCATTAAAAGTGAGGGGGGAAAAGTTGTTATACAGGTGAAACTTGAAAAATTAGAATATCGTGCAAATGTTCATTTATGTCAGTAT